TCTTCTAAATTTTTACACTGCACTCTTTCTCGTGTTAACTCTCATCGACGATATTCAAAATTTTGATTGTCGGTTGCACTGCTAATTTGATGGCATTTTACAGGGTCTTGTCTTGTTCGTGTCAGCACTGGTATTTGGTATTTGAATGATGGATAAAGAAATTGAACTTCTGCATCAATTCGTTGATCTGTGCAAGAGAAATCCTGGTTTGCTGCATGAACCAAAATATGCTTTCTACAAGGAATACCTTGAAAGGTTAGCATGCATATGCGCTGAACTTTTGTTCGTTCTACCAGTATTCATGGCAGTTTTCACTTGACGATTACATGACCATTTCAGTCTTGGTGCAACAATACCACCGTTGCCAAAGAAAGAAGAGAAGCCCAAAGAACCGGAGGTTCACGAGGACGAAACCATGGATGAACCAGAACCACCGGTTGAATTGGATATGAGCGGTGTTATAGAGGGTGAAAAAGACGAACCATTGCCGATGGGCGATAGCGGCAAAGAGGTTTCTCTTGCCTATTTTCTTGCCTATAGTGTAATATTTCGCGAAATCATTCAATGATTAGTTCAGCATTTCAATGAATATTCTGAAGAAATGACCAATAAAAACTATTCTGCACGAATTTTCTTTCAGGTTAGCGATGAAGATCTCGAAAAAGCGAACGAAGAACGAAATCAGGCTATGGAAGCGTTCAATGAAGGTTGTTTTTGTGAATTTCAGTTTACACTTGATTGGTGGTCGCGTTTTGCATATCATTAGCGAAATGTTCTTACAGATAGTACACAGTTTTTCTTGGAACATTGATAAAATATTGATGAAGTAACTCGACTGAATTTCCAATAACTCATCCATCCATTGTCTTGAAAGCGTGCACCATTTTTCCAGTTGTGCGCATTTTTAACGATACGAACAACAAAGCTGCTGTATTCATTATTCATAATTTGTTTTGACTGCGAGTCAGTCACAAAACAACATTCAATGAAAGATTAATGAAGCAGCGATAATGAGAGTTTCGTTTTAAGGAAACATGGAAAAGGCATTGGAGCATTACACAAAAGCAATTGAACTGAATCCGGGATCGGCAATTCTGCATGCTAAACGTGCAAAGTTGGTGAAAATTCTATTTTAAAAATACGTTATTAAAAAAATACGCAATCCATACGTTATTCTATTTTATATTGTGCGCATATAAACTGGAAACATCTTGAATATTTGAGGGAATACTTCAAAAAATGTTAACTGAATATATTGAAAGTTATGATTGATGAACATCGCAAATTATCAAATTTAAGTGTGCTGCTGAAACTGAACAAACCGAATGGAGCGATTCGCGACTGTGATAAAGCAATAGAACTGAACGCAGATTCAGCACAAGGATACAAGTTCCGTGGACGTGCAAAAAGGTATTGCGCATTTAATGTATTGGTTGAAGCGAGCGAATTGGTTGACATTTGATCAGAAGACTAAAGAATTTGTGTTTAAAGTTATTGACGAGCGGATAGCTAAGGGTATAGAAATGGTTACAGTGAGGAGTTGATTTATCGATACTATGAGATGAGACGTTTTTAGAGCGATAGCATTCACTTTTTACTTCATAGATTGTTGGGTAACTTCTTGGAAGCGCATAAAGATCTCGTGATGGCTTGTAAATTGGATTACGATGACGTTGCAAACGAATGGTTGAAGGAGGTTGAGCCAAATGTGAGTTTTCTTTCTGAATCTCATTTGTTATCGTTTCAATTGACTTGATCATCGATTAAATAAAACGTCGTTTGTTTTTGCATTTACTCTTGATTTTTTTTTGCATTCAATTTGTTTAACATCTTTAGTGTCTTTTGAGTTCTTGTCAGTCTTGTATTTGTTTTGAGTCTGATCGCAATTGATATCGTATTTAACGAACTATTTTCGCAAACGTTCTGCACAATACAATCTGGGGGAGTAAGGTT